TGAGGAGGCACAGCGGCGTCTCTGTGTTTGCCGCAGGAGCCGCTGCCCAGGTGAGCGGGCTGCACCCAAACTGCCATGCGGCGGCTGCTGCACGGAATAGCAGAAGACCGCTGGAGATGACCCAGTCCGATCCCCTGCACCAGGCTGGGTCACTCTGATGTGCTTGTGCGCCCAGGGGATGTAGCATCCAAGGTGCTGTTCAAGTCAGGGACTCCTGCTCCTGGAGAAAATCCCAGCCTTGTGCTCCCAGAGCCGTCCTTCAGGCTTCTTTTCCCTGTGTTTGACCCAGAGACAGCCCAGAGCCTGACACCACTTGGACTTTTTCACTGTGTTTTGTTTCCATAGCTTGACAGAAGGCTGTGAATCGCTGCAGGGCCAGTCTCCCAACTGGTCCCCAGTGCTGTGCGAGGCTTTGGCGGGATCCTCGCTGCCCGGGCTGACGTCAGGGCCCATTCATCACCATTAGCACCGAGATGAGCCTTGTCAGCATCCGCAGCAAGGAGGCAGCCGCCTCCTCCGGACTGGCAGTGCCTGCAATTTACTTCTTAAGGCGGCTTAATTGTTGTTCCTCTTCAGGAGCCCGGCTCAGCCCCCGTGTTTAACATCCTTTCCAGCGGCAGCGTGAGCCTGTGTGCTAACGCAGGCAGATCCCACGGTTGCTGCCAGGTATGGTGGTGGTGGCAGCTCATGCTTTTGTCTCAGACACCAGCCCACCTGGGCTTCCTCTCGCCAAGCGAGAGTTTTGGTCTTGTTTAAGCAGTGTCTTGTGAAAGAAGCGCCTGTCTCTGCTCCCAAAATGCTCTGCGTCTTCTTCTAAGCCTATTTCATGCTGACATTTATAACTGCAACTGTGCTGGAAGGATGAAAATCAAACAGCGTTTGCCCCCTCTTCCCCCTATCCTTTGCCTCCTGTTTTCCCTTTCCCCTGGGCCTGGTTGTGGACAGAGTGCAGACACACAATGAAAAATCCATCTCTTCCTCCAGTGCAGCCTATAAAATGCCAACTCCTACCCATGCTCAGGTAGGGAGGGCTGGAGACTGCTCAGGTTTGCAGAGCTCCTCCGTAGCTAAGATACGCTGACCTCAGTGAATCACGAGAAGTTTTGCGAACATCGGGAAGCAGAGTCGAAAGCATGAAATGGATGATACTCAGGCAGGGAATACATTGCATGCCTTTCCCAGATCAAAGTTTATTGCTGTCAGAAATCAGCTCTTAACGTGCATGACTCCTGAGCATGCAGAGAGAGTCTTTCCAGAGCGCAGCCCCAGCTCGGCACAAAGGCAGATGTGCAAGCGTGCAGGTTAAAGCAAGCTGCAAGCTACCATAGGCCTGATGCTGGAAAAAGGCCTGAAAGGAGAAAAGTTGATCAGACAGAGAATGAGCAGAAGGAAGAAAACTCTAATGGAGTGATAGGAGCCTCTGGAGAGGAGAGAAGGGACCTGGGCACAAAATCTGTGTCCAGAGAAGGCATCCCTGCTGTGCTGAGTTTCTGCTCCATAGGCAAAGGGAGGGGGGTGGATTCACATTAGACTTTGCATAAGGAAGAGCAGCTCTCATGATACTCCTGCCTGCATGATCTGGAAGGGTCCCAAAGGACGAAAGTTTGGGGAATAACCAGAGTGCACAAAGTTCCCTGATGGCATCCATGTCCCAGCCCTGAAACAGGTGGAGGCAGGCGAGGGATGGGGACTTAGCTGGGTAAACCTGGGGGCTGCGCTGCTGCTTTCAGACCTTCATATTGTCCCCTGGCTGGGAATGGAAATGTCCTTAGAGCTTTTGCATGAAACACCTTTGATGTGGCGTATTTACCATCTGTTTAGTCTGCGACTTCGCTGGTAGAATTGTATTCAGTTTGGAGAACTGGGAAAAGAAATCCGTAGTTAGAATAAGCTGTATCTTCAAGAGAGGCTTTGCTGGGAGAGCTCTCCCCAGGACAATAGTACCTGCAAACCCGTTTAAGTATAGACAAGAGAGGTTTAGGAAGCTTTAGGCTTTCCTTGTGGAGAAAACTCCTCACATGCCATGTTCCACAGATGAACTGATCCCATTTTAGTAATCTGCTGGTGTTTACATAGGGCTCAACTGCTCACACGCCGCGTTGTGATTATTGGTGCCTTTTAGAAACCCTGTGGGTAAATGTCTGCCTAGGCAGAAATCCTCACTAGCTCATAATTCATTCCAGCCAGAACCTCCTAGGAAACTGAAATAGCTGCTTGGAAACAATTGCAAAAATTTGGCACCAGGCTTGTCCAATGGGGCGGTCCTGCGTGGACTGTGGAATATCACCATCTCCGTGACCACCTGTCCTGGTTTCGCTGGGATAGAACCACAGAATCGTTTTTCCATTCAGGAAAGCTGTGTTTCTGCAAAGACTGCAATACTCAGTTTCGTGGGAACGAGGTTGCTGAGACACTTGGTTTTAGATTTCAGACAGCACTGGTATGTGGGGGTCAAGGTCTGTAGCAGTTTTGAGTTAAACGGGTGCAGAAGGGGGTAGTGAAAGCCAGGATAGTTGACTTCATGCTAACCTCGGGCTGGCCAACAAAATTTATTCCATGCCATAAACTTCATGCTCACTATAAGCTGGGGACTTTGCTGATGATGGCCTTCTTTCCTTGGTGGCTGTCGTCCCAGTAGGGTCTCTCCTGTTGTTCTTCTTCAAGACCTACTCCCCTGTTCATTGCGACCATCACGGCTTGTGGCCACTATATCATCTAGGTATAGCTCTGTGTACTGGATATTAATGCTATTATTAATATTGGGGTTTATTGTTGTTAGTATTTTATTAAATCTCTTTCTGTTTCAACCTGCAGATCTCCTTTCCCAATTCCCCTCTTCCTTCCTCCCTGCCTGCCTTTAAGTGGGCAAGTCTGCTGGGGGTGGAGGCAGGGGAAAGACCCCCCCCCAGCAAAACTCTTGATTAGTCCTGTTTCCCTTAAGGAAAACGATGCAAGAGCAGCAAGGTCCCAGAGCATGACAAGAGTGATGGACCCACAAATTTCCCTTTCTGTGGTGCATTTACAACTGCCTCATGGATCCAGGGAGATAAGCTCCATATTTTATTGGGTCTTCAGGCTTGATGGTGCCTTGGCTTCTGCACAGACCTTATGAAACTCACGGACAAGAAGTGCAAACAGCTTTTCTTCTCCCCTCCCCTTCTGTTTTTTCCACTTGCATAGTCGTTATGCCTGCAAAGCAGGCAAACAAATGTGTCAGGGAATGAAGGAGGTTTCATTTTTACAGAAAGCAATTACAGACATTAAAAGAGCTATAGTAATAAAAATAATATTTAAAATTCAAATCCCTTATCTATATTACGCTGGTATTAACATTGGAAGAAATTCTTTTTTATTTTTTTCCCCTAATCTCATTTGCTTTGCAAGTCAATCTGGAAATTTTTGTGCCAGTCCCCTGAATTTTTTGGACACCGATCTGCGATTTTGGAAGTCTGGGGTTGGCAGCCTTGTAAACTTTACGAGTCAGGGTAACGGGAGTAATGATGCTGCTTTGTTGTGCTTTCCTACCTGTGGCGTTTGCAAGCACCAATCCTGTCTGGAAGGGGACAGCCCCGTGTCCTGGTGAGGAAGGGAAAAATGAGGAGAATGCTCCAGAGCCCAGGGTTGAGCTATGGAGTGTAACTGTGCAGGGCTTATGCGAAACCCACCCGAGGAGAGGGGTGCAGGGGCACAGCCCCAGCTAGCGCACATCGCTGGCAAAACTCCCATGGTGTCCGCAGAGCCTGCAGCAGATGTGCCCTATCCCAGAAATGGGCCATCCACGACACAGCTCTGCCGCTTTCCCTGCCACACACCTTTCCCAGGCTCCAGGTCCTGACCTTCTCTGCTCTCGTTTCTCTCCAGAAAGCCGATTTGGCCGTGGCGGGGCTGACGATTACTGCCGAGCGGGAGAAGGTGATTGATTTCTCTAAGCCGTTCATGACTTTGGGAATTAGTATTCTCTACCGAGTTCATATGGTAAGAGACTTATTTTATAACCGTTTATGTCCCTCCGTTATTTGCATGCAAACTTGCCTAGTTATAGAAGGAAAGTGAATGACTCATAAAAATATTTTGGTTTCTTATTTAAACCCAAATGTTCTCGACCTTTACTTCCTTCTTTTCTCTGTCTGTCTTTCTTGTGTCAGTTTGGTGGATTTGATTCTTGCTGTTCAAACCCTCAGCCCCGTTGGCTCCCCTTCCCCATCCTCCCCAGCTTCCTGACATGGTGGGGCCCATGAGCAGAGCCCTGCCAGATCGCTGCTGCCAGGGCCAGTGTGGGTAGATGTCAGCCTGTTGGGGTGCTTCTGGGTGCAGCAAAAGCCATAGGATGGCTTTAGTGTGGCTTTGAGCCCTCCATGGTGAGGTGTGCTAAGGGCAGGCTGGGCTGGGTGGCTCTGTAACTGCAGTAAATGTGGCTTGGAGTCACCATCTACTGGTACTTACTGGGCAGACTGGGAGGCTGAGCTAGGACACTTGTGGGTGCACCTACCCAAATGCCCTAATGTCAGCCGTGTTCCCACCCTCTGGGCTGTTGTGCCATTGCTTAAACAACACTTGTCTTAAATTCCCATAGATTCTCTTGCATTCCCATTCCCCCATTGTGCTAGCTTCTTCCCGAAGCTCAGGAGAGGACAGATTTTCCCCACATACACCCATATGGGCCAGACAAAACCCGGTTCCCTTGTGTCGCAGGAGGCGAGCTCCGGCAGCCAGGGCCTTTACAAGAGCGTGTCGTATTATTCCCAATCTGTGCGGTGCCGAGTGTGATGCGAATCACAGTCTTGGTTTGCCGTCAGCTCCAACAATAGCAGCCAAAAGGATAAGACAATGAAAGCCACCTCTCCCAGCCCCCTCCCTGCGATCGCAGGGCTGTTAAGGATGCGGCGTTTGGTACGAACGCAAACAAACCCGCGCATGCATCTCTCTGTGCTGAGCGGCTCCTGCCAAGAACAAACAAGTAATTAAAACCTAGTTAAAATTCTGTTTCCTCTGGTACGTGCAGAATTTAGGATCAATGAGTTAACTGATCAAAAAGCAGAGGATTCTTCAAGCTCTTGGAAATCCCTTCCCTACTACACCTGACGTTTTACACCACCGGCTGCCCCATGGATCCAGGAGGTGTTTCTACCAGTGTCATTTGGCTGGGACATTATAATCCAGTTTCTTGCTTTCTCGCATGCGCTTTTTAAGTTTGGGGATTGAGCGCCATGCGTGCTCTGCCTCTGATTTACACCATAACCTTCAGCAAGTCCCTTAACGAGACACCATTCCCTGAGCAGCAGGAGGCTGGTGTCGCTCCCTCCAGAGGAAACACAGGAATATTGGTGCAGGGTTTGCATGTGATCTGCTCTATAAGTGCAAGGCGTTCGCTGCTGCCTCCATGCAAGCTCGATATAAATGTGTCTGACACATCTACTTAGAGTGTAAGTTCGTCAGGGCAGGGACCATCTGCTGCTTGTGCCAGTACCGGAGTAACGCAACACAGCCATGTCCCAGCCTGCCCTTCAGGCGTTTACCGAACTGAACAGGATTAATAATTACAGTCTTTAAAAGTGTTTGGCAATAGTCCCCAGCTATTGGTCAGGGTTGGGTCTTCAGCTGCCTGACAAAGGAACCAGGGCGGGTTTTGAGCAGGGGAGCTGCCCAGTCACCCAGGCAGGCTTGCAAGGAAGATGGACCCCAACAGCAGGGAGGTCTCCCCAGCAAGGAAGCTTGGAACCCCCTCTTCCCTTTCCAGAAGTTGCCCCCACTTTGTCCAGACCTTTCCTGCTTAGCTTGAGGAGAGTGTGTGAGAGCTGTGTGGTAATTAACTAATTAAACTGGTAAATATTTGTTTAACAAGGAAAGACAAGATCGCTAATCGCCCTGGTTTTCCTTCGAGGATGTGGCTTGCAGAGCAGTGGAAGGCAGCCCCACTGCCCCATCTGCTCCTATCCCCTCCCTCCCTCCCTTCCCTTGGTCTCCCCAACAAACATCCCCACAATGTCAAAAACTGATGGCACAGATCAGACGTGACCTAATAAATAACCACAAACGTGTCTCCTGCTGAGGAGTTGCCTCCACACCTTGGTCCCCTCCCAGCGCGATGACATTTTATTCTAATTTCCATGTAACTCCAGTGGCAAATGATTTCTCCCCCCTTTTCTCCTCCCCGCCCCGCCGACCCAGCCACCACAGCGCGTGTGTCTCTTATCACACATAACCAAATATGGCAGCCTTAAATGGGGCTGTCATTTTTCTCAATTTCACTTGTTGTGATATAATCAAGTGTGGATTTCTGACATGGGGACTGTAATAGGCTTTCTGACTTGCAGGCTGCTAAGAGAAAAGGCTTGCTTTGTTTTATTACGTTCCCATTCTGGCCATCTGGTGGGACCTGTGGAAGGCAGGAGATAGATGACGAGTCCCCAGCAGTCACTCCGCTTGGCAGAGGGCTGCAATCAGGTGCCTGGTGCCATTTCTGCGCAGAGGGATGTTGAAAGTCAGGTTTATTTGTAGCATACGCCTGCTTTTGCTCGCTTACCTGCCTCTGTGGTAGAGGACGAGGGAGTAACGAGCACATGATTCTGGCTCATCAGCTCTGAAAGTCCTTACTGTGCTCTACCTTAAGATGAGAAAATGTAGATTTGGCGAGTGCGCTGGAATAGCTGAGTTTAGGCCAAGTGAACTGAGACTTCAAGTTTTTCTACTTGATTGCTGCAGAAGACTCTAAAATGGGAAGGAGCGAATGAATAGCTCCGTCATTCCAGCTGAGCATCCCTCCCGAAGACCCGCGCTGCTCTCACAGCGAGCCTCCCGCTTCACTGAAGCAGGGATGGGAGCAACCGCTGGCTCCAGGCGTGCCCAGAAGTTGCGAGGAGGGTAAACGTCTCTCTCTGGCTTCCATCTGAGGATTTGCAGGAGGCCTTCGTCGACTATTGGACATTTTGAAGGTTTCTATTCCAGGAAAAATAGCTCTCCAATTAATAAAGCTGTATTGGGAGCGCCTAAAAATATCTGACAGACTCCAGATATTGTCATTCCCATCTTCAAAACAGACAGATAAGAGAGAGTTTGTGCCCTCCGTGGGCACAGAATATCTTTATTCTTATCCACAACTGTGAATGAAGAGAATATGGAGCAGCAGCCTGAAAATGACTGTAACTGAAAAGAACCAGAACTACTACTACTGTAAAGTCACAGGAGAGAGTCATTGCCAAGCCTGAGACTCAAAGCTTCCAACGCAATTTCCTTAATGAGTGTAATTTATTGACAAACTGCCCCAGAAACATAGAGAAGACATCAAGTCCTTAATTACAGAAAGGAACTTTGTTACAGGAGCATCTCATGAGGGAGCCTTGGCTGAGGCATTGCCAGTGCCTGGGAGATTTCTGCCAGCTCTGGGATGCCAAGGAGGGATAAATCACCCGGAAAAATGTGCTCGAGGAGCTCCGGTTTGCTCGGCAGAGGGCAGATGGTGCCCTTCACACCTTGCAGGTTCCCATTGCCTCATTTCATTCTTGAGTCTGTAAACACCTGTGGAAGAAGAGGCAGCTGAGCCGGTTTAGCTTTAGCTATAAAAGGAAACCAGGGGCCTGTGGGGCAGCCAGGAAAGCCTTGTAGATGCTAAAGAGCAGGGCTTTGGCATTGCCTACCTGTTGGCGCCAAGAAGTCTATGATCATCTGGAGGAAACCAGGGAGAGGTGCAGAGGGAGTGCACTGTGGAGCCTGCAATGACAGACATGGTCTCGCCTCTTTGGACTGGTGAGAGGAGCTCCAGGATGCTGGGGGTGTAGTGTCCAGCAGTGTCCCTGGCTTTGAAGACCCGTGGTTTGGGCCCAGATGCTGGCTGTGGCAGTTGTTTGTCTCTCTCTGGGTTTCTGGAAGGAATAGAAGGAAAAGCAGAACACGGCAGCAATTGACCCAGAAAGGGAAAGGGCAAAAGATGACTGTGGTACCTTCCACTGCTTGTGCTCCACCTGCTTATACCATGCACAGTAAGATACGGGATGGAAGGGAGGCCTTGTCTCAAAGAGAAATCATTGTCTGAAATTATACCCAGGAGAACCCAAATCTTATCTTGGGAAGTGATTTTAAAGTAACCTGAAAATGGATGCAGGAAGGTCTGAACCATGGATTCTTAACTCATCTATTTGTTAAAAGGCTTAATGAGCCACATTCTCTAAAGATGCTAATGTAGATCCCAAGCTCAAACTCATCTTTTCCTGAAGGATACAGGGCTAGGATGTTACGATGTGGTGGTTCTTTACTGCATGCAGGGCAGAGTTTGCTGTGGGAGGTTTCTGAGATGTTACGTTCCCAGCTGGTGACTGGAGCTGAGAATATCACAGTATCCTAGATATTTTTAGTGGAGGAAGGTTTTTTTGTGCAACAACTATTGCCTTTTCTAGCAACAACTTAATCTTCAGAGGGACTACTGAGACCTTGTGAAATTCAGTTTTTGCATAAGATTAGGAATACATCAGTAGTAAACCAGTGGGTTTCTAATGGAAATGGAATTTAAAGTGCTGGTCTTGAGTCTGGGGAAGGAAAAAAAAAAGTACCTGCTATGTTTCCTGGGGACTTTTGTGAAAACAGTAAATTATTCACTGCCTTTGGATTAAGCACAGCTCTAAAATACAAGGACTCTGGTCTTTGATGTCTCTGGGCTTGCTATGGCAATTGAGGTTAGGTGTTATTTATTACCAGCTATTATTAGTTTATGTGGTGTCACAGGCGGGCAGAGTAGAGCAGCAAACTGGGGGAAAATGAGACCTCTGTGTGTCAAAGATGATCCCCGGCAGCAGCAGCTTTTGCGTGAAGCGAGCACACTACAGCGGGGCAGCTGCTGTGCCGCAGGAGCGGGCTGCGCTGAGCAAACAGCGATAGGCGTTTTCAGCGCACACCAGCAGAGCAAGGTGTCAGCAAGAAATACGCTGACAGCCTGGCCGAGATGTGATAAAAGGCTGTTTCCAGCCTGACTTCACAGTAAAGCTTCTGCAGGAGCAATGACTCACGGGCAGCTTCCCGGTTACAGGTGCTTGGGGAAGCTGTAGAGGTTTTGTGGTGCCAGGACTTTGTGGTTCGGGGCAGAAGATACAAGCACTTGTGAGCACAGGGCTCACATCCCCATGGTGTTAATGCAGCCCTTTAGCCCTGCCTTGGGAGCTCACACTTCTGCTGGGAGTCTTTCAGGAGAGATTATAAGGAAAGGAGATGCCCATTGCAAAGGAGCTGCGTATGCAGAGGTGGTGGTGGCGGGAGATGTGCAGCTTTTGAGATACTTCTCCTAGAAATTAATCCTCTCTTTGCACAATTTTTGCTAAATTTGACAAGATTTTAATGGTGGCAGAGTCCCTGAGAAAACTAAAAGTACTTTGAGAGAAGAGCAACCTGTTGTTTTTTTTTTCTAGCAGTGAAGCGTTGCTTTTCAAGGAAAGGTGGTTTGCTGAGAAAAAAACAGGAAATTCTGACGCATCCTGGAGATAAAAATACCGTGTTCTCTGAGATAAAAGTAATAATTTTATTGAGTTTCTTAGCGAAGAAGCATTTCAAGGCTGAAGGAAGAAAACCGGAAATATTGCAAACGTCTCCCTTTTTCCTTTTCTGCACAAAAATACTTCTTCCCCGCTCTGTTTCGTGCAGAGGATCCCACCCACCTCCAGGGTCAGGGGAGCTCCCTCCTGCCCAGCAAGCGGGGTGTGCATCCTGCTTGGGTAGACAAGGGCTCCAGATGGGGACCCCCCCCCATGCAGGCGAGGGGTGCAGCACATCCTGCCATGGGGAGGGCAGAGCGCTGCCATAGTCTTGAGTTTTCTATCGATTCACCTCTTTCTTTGCCTGGAGGAAAAAAGGTGGTTGAGGTGGGGAGAGGAATAGTCTCAGGAGGTGAATCCCAAAAGGGAGATGCTGCAGGACGTGGTCATTTGTTGTGTCCAGCCTCACCTGTTTCCCCTGCAAGGCTTTTGTAAATCTCTGCTTGCTTTATTTCCCTTCTGTCGCTCCCATCCCTTGTCAGCACCAGAGCAGGTGTGTTTCTGTGTGCCGTTTTCAGATTGGACTACTGAATTTGTAGAGATACAAGCAGCTCAAACTCCTTTTTGTTCCCCTTCCAGGGCCGCAAACCTGGCTACTTCTCATTCCTGGATCCCTTTTCCCCTGGCGTCTGGCTCTTCATGCTGCTCGCCTACCTGGCTGTCAGCTGCGTCCTCTTCTTGGTAGCTCGGTAATGTGCCTGCCGGTGGCTTTTCCTTCCTCACGGTGCCATCTAGCGTCACGCTCCCGGACCCGGGGGGGGATGCGTGGTGAGGGGCCGGGCAGGGGGACGTTCCCCAGGCAGTACGTGCTCCGTTGCTGTTTTCCCTCACCTCCCAACAAACTGTTTGCGGTTGGTGGCAGAGCCTTTTCAGGCATTGCTGCACTGTGTCCTGGCCAATGTGTGCCAAAGACGTGAAGGCTGTTTTGGGACATGGTTAATACCCAATTCTCATTACAGAAATTGGAGCTGTGCTGTCACTCGGTCCCTTAGCATGGCTAAAGTTGTCATCCTGACAGGGCTTTAATGGTTTCTTCGGATGCCATTACAGCCTCAGAAACGTAGTTCTGAAGAAACCATTGAATAATGCAGTCTGGTACTCTCTGCAGACTGAGGTTTTGTGACTCTTTAGCCCCCTCCTCATGTTTTAAACATGATCCTCCAAAAAGGTGCCTTTATGTGGCTTCCCACCGGAGATGGGAGGTTTGGACACTGCTGTCTGCCTTGCTCAGCCGTAAGGAGCTTTTGACCCTGTGAATTGCAGAAGACTCTCCTAGAGCAGGTTTTTTTTACTGCTGGGGCTTGATCCAACCATAGAAAGCCCACAAGAAATAACCTCCACCTTGCTGGCATCACAGTGAGGTTGGGGATAGAGGAACGGAAATAAACACCTCATTTTGGTTAAATGCTGCGTAAGTTGGCAGAGCCCTCCAGCTGTGTTGGCAGCATCCTCAAAATGACCCTCCCAGGCACCAGCTTTGTTAACCATTAGCAGTATAATGAACTGCAGCATAGGAATTGGAAGACTTTCTTAGCAATCAGGGAAGTGGGGACTGGAAACAGCCAAAAAAGAGAGCTAGGCTGCAGTCACATCAGTGACAGGCTGCCAGTTACTTCAGATTCCCACCTCTGTCCTGTCCCTGTGAGCACTGAAGGTACGTGATGCTTTGAAACAGCAGTACTTGGCTTCAAGCTAGACCTGGGATCTATACCTTGCTGGGGCAATCAGTCCTTCTCAGAACAACCATTCACACCACTGCAGTTATTTTTCTTGATGGTATCGTGCAGTCAGGTCTCACACACTTCCCTTGTGAACTTCCCATTGATGCTCATTTTCCAGCAGGGAACACAGCCAAAGATATTTGATTGCAATTTCACACCGACCTGGAATTATTGTTGTGGTTGTCTGCAGTACGAATTTGCACACAGGGCTCCAGCCTCCCCGCAGCCCACGCCCAGATTTTCAACAGAGCCTCTCAAAACTTTTGCAAATCTTTACAAGAAAGCCTCTGGCTTCTACGTCTTAGAGCACGCGTTTCACACAGCTCTGAGCCCTGGGCATCAATTGACAGCAAAGAATTTCCTCCTCAGAAAAAATCTGCCTCCAGGAGAGTTAGGGCTTCAGAGCTTTTCTGGGTTGGTTTTTTTTTGCCTTTTTTTTTCCTCCAAAGTGCCCCAGTTCCCTGAGCCATCCGTTTCTTGTCATTTTAGATTGACACCGTATGAATGGTACAGCCCCCACCCCTGCTCGCAAGGCAGATGCAATCTTCTGGTGAATCAGTACTCTCTCGGCAACAGCTTGTGGTTCCCAGTTGGAGGATTCATGCAGCAGGGCTCCACCATTGCCCCCCAGGCGTTATCCACGCGCTGCGTCAGTGGAGTCTGGTAAGGACTCTCTTAAAGAAGGCTTCACTGCGGGTCTTTTCTGGGCAGGAGCAGATGGAGAGATGGAGGGTGAGGATGTAGATCAGGTTCAATCCATGGGGAAATCTCAGCTCACCGTCCTTGCTTCTCCTCTCCCTAGGTGGGCGTTCACCTTGATCATCATCTCCTCCTACACGGCCAACCTGGCGGCCTTCCTCACCGTGCAGCGGATGGACGTCCCCATCGAATCCGTGGATGACCTGGCTGACCAGACAGCCATCGAGTACGGCACCATTCACGGCGGCTCCAGCATGACCTTCTTCCAAGTAAACCCCATTCTTTTGCTAGCTGGGGCAGGAGGTGCAGAGGGCACCCTTTAAATCAGATTTGGATGTCAGGGCAGCCTGTCGTGCCTGCTTCATTCTGGTTTCTGGCACAGAGGGGGCCTTTGGAGACGGGCTTCAGCAGATGAGCATTTGTAGACAGATTTCCACGGGTGTCTATGCGGTTTTGATGTGATCTTAGCTGTTACATGAGAGTCCCTCAGGTTGGGTAAGCAAAGAAATGTTTGCAAACCACAGGTTTTGCCGTACGTAAAGGTGCTGGATGCTGGATGTGGGCAGCAACACTGAAAACAACTCAGTCAAGTGGATGCAAACTTCTGTGTGCCATTTAGCCCAGTTTAATTTTTATCTTCCTTGCTCTATTCCAAAGAGGAATAAATGAGTGAATCTTTTCTGCAGTGCTCTGAATGCACAAAGAACTGCTTAAGGATTATTTATTTATTAGATGTTGAAATTCTGAGAGGAGAGAAGGCTTTTCACACTGTTTTCCCCTTCAGAGTCTGAACGGAGTTGGGAAGCCTGAGAAATCTCTCAAGTGAGCCTGAGCTTTTCAGCCCAACTTTACACCCTTCAGGGGTTTGGCAAAAAGCTACTTTTAAGCAGAACATTACATCTAAAATGAGCTGAACAGAGCCCAAGTGACTGAGGTGGTTGTATGCGAGGCACTCACTTAGCTCTTTTCAGGAAGGCTTTCAAGTTTAAAACCCTGACTGTGGCTCTGCACTGCCTGCCGGGTGCCGGAGTTGCTGGTATCAGAGAAGAAATTAGCTAAAGATGTTCTTGTACCATTTGCGGTGCTTTGAACTGCGTTGAGATCCATTTGCCTCTGGTGCAGCCGTGGTGGGTTGAGCAGGCACGGCCGAGGCTGTCGTCACCACCCCTTACTGGTCCTGGCAGCAGTTTCTCCTGACGCTAACACACAGGGTTAACGTTTAAAAGTGCAGCAAACGGGGAAGAAACACGCACCCTGTTCATCTGTGTCTCGCCCCTGCAGAACTCGCGCTACCAGACGTACCAGAGGATGTGGAACTACATGTACTCCAAGCAGCCCAGCGTCTTTGTGAAGAGCACGGAGGAAGGGATTGCGCGGGTGCTGAACTCCAATTACGCCTTCCTGCTGGAGTCCACCATGAACGAGTATTATCGTCAGCGCAATTGCAACCTCACGCAGGTCGGGGGCCTTCTGGACACCAAGGGCTACGGGATTGGCATGCCCGTCGGTAGGCAGTGAAGAAAAATTCTAGTCCTTCTCAGCTGTCGGCAGAGGACCGGAGCATTTGAAAGGCTGAACCGGCTCTAAAGCCCATGTCACGTTTCACAGCTCTGCCCAGGGTCGTTTTTGTCTCGGGAGGAAAATCGAATACATTGCAATTGCCTGAGGTGCGCGCTCGGAGCCAGATGTACGAGACCCTGCTCTGGTCCAGAGCCATGTGACACGCGACTGCGGCTCTTTAAATAATTCATGTGAAAGATGTTGCAAAATTGCTGCTTATTTTCTGCGTATATGCCCTTTGCTGACTGTTTCCCTTTTGAACCGGTGTTTCTGAATCATTCCGTGCTCCTTGTTTTATCTCAGAAGTGCTGTAATGCTGTTGCGACTCTCGTAGTTTGTAGCGCGAGTTTCTCAACGGCTGGTGGTTCTTTAAACGCCAGGCCAGAGAACTGGGCAATTCAGCGATTATCTCGGCTAATAATCAGGTTTAACAAATGCAGGGTTTTTATCTTTCAAATATGAGAGCTAGCAAGAGAACATCATCTCCCAGGGCAGCGCAGAAAAAGGATGTAGTAGTTGTTATTCCAAGCGATCGGCTGATCTTTCAGCCAGTCTCACAGGGATGCCTTGTTCCTGACCTTTAAGCACCTGCACTTAGCAACCCAGACTTAAGCTGAATTACATAAGGACCATCACACAAACAGTCACTATAGTTTAGCTAACATGTGTAAGCTTGCGAAGTCACAGTAACCCGATCGTGAGTACAAATCCTGGCTGTAAGGACTACATTTGTTCCGACATTGTCTTGTTAAACAGTGAAACTGTAGCAGATAAGAAGAGCAGAAAGCTGCTGGCTGGGACAATAGTGCAGAGTTACCAGCAGAGCTGTGGTCTTTCCCACGGCCCTTCCTCTGCAGCCATCGTGAGGACTGCAGCAGAGCTCGGTACCCAGCACAGGAGTGAGCCTTCTCCACTGGGAGCATTCGGGCTTGCGTGTTGGTTGAATTTAGCACCAGTTTGAGGGAAGGATAAGAGCAAGGTTGAAGTTGGAGGCAGAATGACAGGAGAGGGACCTCGGTGGTCTGGAGGAGCAGCAGTGCAATACTGAACCTGTTCAGATCCTACTGCTGAAGCCAAAGTTCCCCTTGTCGTAGACCTCTTTGAGTGGCCTGTGTGGGTCTTGGTGGACAGGCAAAATTACCACCTGCAAATGACATTATGTAGCTGACAGTCCCAGCAGGGAGGCTGCAGGTTTCAAGGGCTCACAGGGACTGATGTCCCTTCCAAAACCGTTCACAGATGAGCTTTTGTAGTCAGGCACACTGGCAGGCATCATGGTGGGGAGGAAGGCGGGTTGAGGCGGTGCCTTACCTTGTACCCCTTGGTGTTGCAGGCTCTGTGTTTCGGGATGAGTTTGACCTGGCCATCCTCCAGCTGCAAGAGAACAACCGCCTGGAAATCCTGAAGCGGAAATGGTGGGAAGGAGGCAAGTGTCCCAAAGAGGAGGACCACAGAGCCAAAGGTAAGCCCCACCGCTCTCCAGTAGTATGCTCAAGAGACCAGGCAGTAGAAGCGTCCTTGCCAGCAGTGCAGGGATGAATATCCATCTGCGCATGAGCGCTGCCAGGTTTTCTGCCGGAGAGATGCTTTTTCCCCTTCTTCTGACCTGAGAACTCCTTCCTTCACAATTCAAGGAGAAAGCCAAACAGCTCTGCTGTGCCTCATGCTGTGTGTTTTTGCCTGGGGCAAAGATAGCGGGAACCACCAAATGACAAATATTGGAGGCATATGGAGGGTAAATTAGCTTCTAATGAATGTCTGCAGCATTATGTGGGAAAATGGATGGCTAAAGGGATCAACCCGAAATCCTGGGTTCCTTCAAGGGAGATGGTCCTCCACCACAGGCCCGCTGGTTAATGGCTCCAAGTGAAAGCGCCTTTTTACACAGCCAAGGGAAGGGACACAAGGACTTTATTAGTACATCTGTAAACTGAGGAGCGAATTCTTTTGGGTAATGCTATGCAAATCACCATAAAAGCTACCACATTAGGCTGATGTCCCAGCATGAGAGCAGTTGCCAGCTTAATGCAGTTGCTGCATTTTTTAGTTTTGGCAGTCACCCTTTCCTCAGCAAGCGTTTTTCTGGGCGGCCAGCAGGTCCCCCAGTTGAATGCGGAGTCTTCTGACCTTTCTGAGCGCAGAGAGGGAGAGCCAAGCCGGCTCTGGGGTAGCTCTTTTGTTTTCCTGACATTGCGGCAGGCGTAGGTGTCCGTGTCTGTGCAGTTTGTGAGCTGGGCTGGATGAGACCCTGCAGGGACCGTGAGCCAGTGCTCCCTTTTGGGCAGTGCTGCAGTGCAGGCACCCCGGGCTGTTGATCTCAAGGCAGAGGATGTTGGAAATAACCTCTCAGGTGAGCTTGGGAGTTGGCGTCTGAGGTGGCACCCAGGCAGAACGATAGAAGGATGTAGAGAGAGCTACTGGCCCTGAATTCAAATTTGAGAGCTGCTGGGAGGAGAGGATGGCCTTTATCTTGGGTCTGAACTGTGATTATAGGCTATGTTTTCTGCTCTGCAATCGCTGTCTTAGTGGAAATATCTCTGCGAAGGGCTGATTTACAAAGTCACTAGATTGCTCCGGAGGCAATGCCAAAAGAATGTCAGAGGAGGAGGGAGAAATGTGCCCTCCTAAGTTTTAGAAGAAAACAGGTCAGCGATTTACAAGGATTTTGGTGAGATTTTATGTCTAAAAGCCACGCAGAGATTAAGTCAATAAATCATTGATTCTTACACTTTGATTTAATGTTACAGAGGGGATAGGAAGATTTTTATAGATGTTCTTGTTGAGTAATGGCCTCATACAGTCATCTCAGTGCAAAGCACCACATGCTTTTTAGTAATCAATCCAATCAGGGGCCAGTCCACTCGAGACCCAAAACCAACACAGGAGAGAAGATCCAGCCGTTTCTCGGACAGCATCTGCTGAGCCTGGTGCTGCTCCCCGGCTCCTCTCATGGCCCCGTTCTGCAGGGCTGGGCAGAGGCACAGGCTGTGGTTTTGGGGACAGAGATTGCAGAGGGAAGCAAGGTGACAGCCTCGCCACATGTCCAAGGGAGGGGAGATGAGTCGCCCCATGGAGGGGGCTGTTTCCTCCTCGTGGTCCAGAGGATGCTGGGCAGAGAGCACCCAACCCGTAACCAGGTCCCTCTGGGTGGCAGGGACCCCGTTCAGTCACCGCACAGCGTGTGGGGTCCTGGTCTTGTTTGGAACAACTTCTTGCTATTACAGTACAACCAGCTGTAATTGTTTTAAACCAGCACTTTGTAATGCAGTCAAAGGAGCTTTTCTTGGTGCCAGCTTCCTTTAAAGCCCTTTCTTGTCGTCTTCATCTCTGCTTCTTTAACAGCGTTGCTCATCTGCCTTTGTGAAGTTCAAAGCAACTAGAGCTGGGTGAATAATTTGCAGGGATTAATGTGCCCGATTGATCTCTCATTTTTTTTGCCTTGTTTTCAGTTTGTCCACAAATTGCTTTGTACTTCCCTCCAATGTACTTGCTGTTTATCTGCAAAATCATCATTTCTGAGAACACATCTTCGATCGTGCAGTTATTGCAAGTCATTCAGTTTGCCATCCGAGTCATGCGGTTAGCTATTAATAAGACTCTGCTAGTTACGTGTTTTTGGTCCCATTTGCAATGCCAACCGAACAACAAAGAGCTGGGACTTCTGTACAGCTTACAATTTATGTTGTCTCTTCTGCTTTATTTTAGGCCTCGGAATGGAGAATATTGGTGGAATCTTCGTGGTTCTCATCTGTGGCTTAATCGTAGCAATTTTTATGGCAATGCTGGAATTTCTGTGGAGCCTTCGGCACTCTGAACAGTCAGAGGTAGGACCTGAAGGTGTCCTGAGGGGAGTAGTGTGTGTTTATTGCTATGTGCAGGGTGCTCAGCAGTGTAGTGCTCTGGAGCAAGTAATGCACCCAGGCTGAGATGAGCATTCCCAGTAACGAGACCTCAGATGCGTGAGAAGGCTTAGATGCATTGGGCAGGGTCTAAAAAGGAGCTTGTCATGCACTCCTACTAAGACCAAGACTGTAGGGATGCTCCAAGGGCTTTTGAGGGGACCAAGGATGTGTGCAATGTCCAGGTACCTTTCCTGGAGATGGGTCTATCTGAGGATTTCTACCTGCCATAGGTTTGGGTCTTATGTTGATTTGGGGATCCAGAATATAGGAGGGTCTCTGACAAGAGGTGGAATCCATTGGGCTAAGTCAAGTATGAATACCCAAGTGTTGGTGTTGAAATCCAGCGCCCAGATCAAAGGCTGAGTCCGTAACACTTTGCCATCAGAATCCAGAGCAGACAGGGGGCTGGCAGCTCTCTTAGGTGAGCAGTGTGTCTTGGGTCTGCCTTCCAGGTGTCGGTGTGCCAAGAAATGGTGTCGGAGCTGCGCAACATCATTCTCTGCAAGGACAGTTTCCACCCCCGTCGGAGGCGAGGGGGAATGATACGGACTCGCCCGGTTATCCCGGAGGAGCGCCGAGCCCGCAGCACAACCACGCTCAGCAACGGGAAGCTGTGCAGTGGGGGCGAGCCAGACCCCCTGGCACAAAGACTGGCGCAAGAAGCCGCCCTGGTCGCCCGAGGGTGCACGCACATCCGAGTGTGCCCCGAGTGCCGCAGGTTTCAGGGCCTGCGGGCACGGCCGTCTGCGGGCTCCCCCGCGCGGAGCGAAGAGAGCTTGGAGTGGGAGAAGACCACCAACAGCAGCGAGCCCGAGTAACGCTGGGCCGGGGGGCGTCGGGGTGGGCCGAGAGGGTCCTGTTCCATTTTACAGAACACGGACTTGTACAATGTCAACTCGTTTTTAAATTAAAAGCAGTTACCCAGCTTCTCCAGAGCAAGGCGGACCTTCGGGCCTGGCCAGAGGGGACGGCTTTGGTTTTGGCGTCCCCAAGGACGCACGTCTTGCTGGAGCCTGGCGCAGCAGGAGCGAGGTCCTCCGGCTGACCCGTCCCCAGCAGCCGTATCCACGCCACCGTGCGGCTCCCCGGTGGGACGGAGGGACGTG